GCATATAGCCTTATTACAATTCTCATCCTTTTGATAATCTGTTATATTTTCCATTTTTAGTCGAGAAATTTTCTTTAAAACCATCTCAGATTTATTCTCAATTGACTCAACATGCTTCCGTGAATTGTTTCCGTTACTACTTCCTTCATTGGTTTTTAGTTTCTTCAGATTTGTATTGACATTACTGGAGTTTATTTTTTCTTTCATTTTCGTCGATTCAATATGCATTTCCGTATCCAAAGATCGGCCATCATTTTGTTGGCTAATTGACTTTTCATTATTAGTTGTTGTTGTTATTTGACAGCATTCATGTTTTCTATTCCGTTTGAGGGTCATTGAACGCATCTCATTCAATTTCCAACTTTCCGTTTTAATTCGATGAGATTTTCTTAGAGATATATTCTCATTTTTGTTGTATTCTGACTCTGTTTCTTCGTTATTTTCAGTTTTGATGTTAACATTTTTGGGGACTTTCTCATTTTGATTATTGTTGAATTTATCTTTAGGTATGCTCGTATTGGTATTCGTAGTTATTTTAAAAGTCTGTGCATCATTTTGTATTTGCGAAGAGTCATAGTTTCCATTCTTTTCCTTGGCTATTGATGTGGTTTGATTTATGTTATTTATCACAGCCGCGTGTTTCCTTTTTGGTTGTGCATATCGCATTTCTCTTAATTTCCAAGTTTCAATTTTGATTCGATGTGATTTTCTTTTTGGTATATTATTGGTTTCCTATAAAGAAAAAAAAATTTAATTAAAAACCAGTAAAGAAAGTAGTAAAGTCGGACGGGGCCGACTATATGATACCCTTCACCACTTTGGGTATATTCAACAGATGAAACCTAATAGACGTCGCATTTTTAAAGGACCAGTGAAATGAAATTGGATCCATAAACATGTCATTCTACAACCGATACAAAATTTTTCATTTGGTCAGTTACAGAAGATATATCTAAATCTGAACCGATTTCAGGAAACTTAACACACATCATTCTAGACCTCATCCATTACGTTGTGCCAAATTTCGTGCAAATCGAAAGATAGTCCCTTAATATCTTTCTTAGTGCACCGTTTACCTTAAATCGGACGAAAATATATATGGGAGCAATATCTACATCTGAACCGATTTTCACGAAACTTAACACACATTATTCTAGACCTAGTTCATTACGCAGTGCCAAATTTCATGCAAATCGAGAGATATATAGGGACTTTGGTGCACTATTTACATTAAATCGGACGAAAATATATATGGGAGCTATATCTAAATCTGAACCGATTTTCAGGAAACTTAACAAACATCGTTCTAGAACCAATTCATTGCGCTATGCCAAATTTCGTGCAAATCGAAATATATATAGGGACTTTGGTGGACCATTTACATTAAATCGGACGAAAATATATATGGAAGCTATATCTAAATCTGAACCGATTTTCAGGAAACTTAACACACATTATTCTAGACCTAATTCATTACGCTTTGCCAAATTTCGTGAAAATCGAAAGATATATAGGACTTTGGTGCACCATTTACATTACATCGGATGAAAATATGTTCATATGGGAGCTATATCTAAATCTAAGCCGATTTTTTGTTTCCAATTTCAATAGGGTTCGTCCTTGGGCCAAATAAATGACATATGCCAAATTTCATCCAAATCGGATCATAAATGCGCCTTGTACTTTGTTTACAATTTAACATCAACAGACGGACATGCATAAATCGACTCAGAAAGTGATTCTATGCATATTCTCAAAAGGAACCATGTGTCTATCTCGTTTCCATTTGCAGTTACAAACATATGCACAAAGACATAATACACTGTACCACAGTGTGGTGAAGGGTATAACAAATACAATATCCTTGAGAAAATATTGTTTTAATAAGACCCCCACTCCTATTATCCCTGCCCTTATTTGTGTTTTATACGTACCGGCAATATTTTGGATTCGAATATTTCCTTGTTAGCTTCAGTCTCATTTTTTGAAATTGTTAATATTAAATTGTTTTCCACATCTTTCGCAGAATTGGGTTCCATATTAGTGAACGATTCCATTTCTTGTTTAACTTCGGGCATTTTCAATGGTATTTTAACTGAAAAGGGTTTTATTGGATTCGCTTGCATCTGAAGTGGTTGCAAATCTTTGGGCCGCCCCTCATCGTGGTGTATGTTATTCAACTTAACACAAAGAGATTCCAATTCAGCTTCGGATATATCTAATAGGTCATCGTTATCATGAGATGTGATAGTTGACCTTTCGGGTCTCTTCTTTCTAGATAACCCCTTTGGAATATGGCGAGATAATCTTTTTGCCTTTCCCTTTAGAAATTTAGCAATTTTCTTTGGCAATTTATTGTTCTGCATGGGAATTTGGCGATCTATTTCTGTTTCAGAAAAACCCAACAGATCGTCTTTCATTCTTTTATGGTCAGTTATAGCTGGAATAAAGTGTATATTAATTAGATATCCAATGGTAATAAAAAACCCCAATTCAAAGTTACCATTTTTAAAATGTCCATCCTCTCCATTTACTGTTTCTGTTTGTTGAGTAATAAAATCCGGCTCTTGCTTAATGATCTTAGCACAATAACTTCCACCATAGGTCTCCTCTGCCGGCAAACGTTTTCCGAATTCCGATACATGGTATATGTCTTGAGTTTCCACTTTTGTGGTGGTGGTCATCACAGCTGCTGTTGCTTCCATTTACATAGGACCAATTGAAAAACGTTCCTCATGCGTCGAAAGGTAATGATTGATAAAAAAATGAAATCACAACAAAAGAGACGGGAAAATCTAATTGTTTACGAATGCGTATGAGGCACAAATGTTGAGATTTTAAGAAAGAGAGATGGTAGAAGTTGCAATCAGCTGATAATCAATGTTGACAGGGTTGCCAATACCATGAATGTCAATTCCGTAGAGTATAAGGTGTACTTTACATTACGAGTCATGGTCACGAATCATGAGAATTTTTTTTCTCTCAAAGGTATTCACATCTTGAGAACAATGTACTTAGTTGACTTGTGACAGAACATTTGCATCTTATTCGTGGCCTTCCCATTCTGCATGAACCATCAGTTGGATCGCTTTTATATGACTTTTGGGCTGGGGCATCTTCATCCATTCTCACAACATGGCCTAGCCAACGTAGTCGTTGCAGCTCATTACGTCTAAAAATTCGCGTATCCGAGAATAGCTGGTACAGCTCAACGCAGATCGACCGGTAGATCTTTTCTCTCAAACACTCCAATTTGTTCTAAGGTGGCTGTTACCGCTCGCAATGTTCGACCCATTATATCGATGTTATTCGGCGTAGGCGAGTAACATGGGTTGTTTGGTGTACAGAGTGCTATTTCTGTCCACTTTTGCCTCTCGTATGACCTTTTCCAGCAGGTTGTTAAAAATATCACAAGACAAACTGTCACATTGTCTGAATCTTCGTTCGGTATTAAAGGGCTCCGAGATGTCCTTTTCGACTTTAACTGCTGACCTTGTGTCAGATAAAGGTATCCTGCATAGTCGTATTTATTTTCGGCAGGAATGCTGAACGCAGACTTGTCTTTAAACAGCTCTGAACTCATAGGGGCGTTGAATGCGGCTTTATAGTCGACGAATAGGTGGCATGTGTCGATTTTCATGGGTCTTTTCCAGGATTTGGCGCAGAGTGAAAAGCTAGTCAATGGTGAATTTGCCAGGCCTGAAGCCGCACTTGTATGGCCCATTAATGTCATTGACCATTGGCTTCAGTTATTCACACAGTACGCTGGATAGCCCTATATGTGCGATGGGAAGGAGACTTAGTCCTGTATAGTTGGCACACATCGTCTTGACTCTTTTTTGTGCACGTGACACAGGATGCTGTGGTTTCAATCATTGAACGTGCATTCCTCTAGCCAAATTATGTCGTGCATGCCTCTGACCACATCTAACCCATCGGACCTAGATGGTATACAATCTATACCATCATCTCTTATTGGCTCTTAGGTATCTTCTTCACCGCCGCCACTATTTGATACCAGAAGCTTTGCAAGATGCTCCTTCCAGATCCTCAACACGATATCTGTATCTGTCATTAGGTTTCCATATTAATCTCAACAGGAGCATGTACCAGCCTTCGGGTTGATGTTTTACTCGTTGGTAAAATTTCCGTACTTCATTTTTACTCCTGTATATCTCGATTTGCTCACGCTCACATTTTTCTTGTTCTTTCTTCTTTTTCTGAAAATATGTTTTTCCTTTTCCCCCGATATTGCTCCCTTGCATTACGTGTTGCTACTTTCTGCACGGTTGCCCCATATGCTGCGACACTCCTGATCGTGGCTTGGCTTTCTTGATGGTGGTTTTTGGTACCCAAGTGTTGCTTTTGCTGCAGTTTGTGGGCTATGGGCAATTCTTTGTCATTGTGCTTCTATATCATTATCGGGACAAGGAGTGCTTCCGTACGAATGACCATGATTCGTAATGTAAAGTACCCCTATGTCAAGAAAATCCTCTCGTCAACTTTTTTCTTAAAAAAGTGGTGCTTAACTATGCATGAATCAATCGACTCGCTGTTTCTGGGAATTTACACCTTACATTAAAATGCGCGACAATTTAAATTGTTAATTTTTTTAAATATTTTAGAAGACTATAAAATGGCAAACGCCTTTATTTTAGGTTGCCACAATCCCTTATCAACACATGTCATTGTGTTTTGACGCTTTCCAACACTAACCCAACCTTTAGAACAGCTGATGATTTATTTGGCAAGGTGGTCGTTTCAGAGTGTGTGCGAATAGCGTGCGAGGGAGAGCGCACACAAAACAAATGCATTTGCATTATTAACAAAAACAACAACAAGAACAGCGATACATTGTAATAACGCATAACGGTTTGTTAACAATTTTGGTTGTTCAATTACAACAAAATATTTGTGTGTGTTTGTGCTTGCAACGGAAACGGAAGTGCCCAGAGAGAAAGAATCAAATTTCATTATTTTACGAACTTTACAAAATTACATAATAATAAAAAATAGAAAAAATGGAAAAGGAAAAAGATTTATATCGTGAAACATGGGTGCGCTATTTGGGTAAGTTTGTTTGTGTTGTAGTGGTGTGGTGTAAAGGAAATTAATTTTTGTTTTCCCTTTACAGGCTATTGCAATGAAGTTGGTGAGGCCTTTCGTCGTTTGGTCCCATCCAAATTGGTCACAGCCAGTTATGTGGTATCAACGGGCTATGTTTGTGCCGATACAATTGATAAATCCTACAAGGATTATAAACAAGGTGCCTCGGTGAAAAATGTTGCCATAACCGCCACGGATGTTTTCATTTGGCAAATATTAGCATCGGTTGTTATACCCGGTTTCACTATAAATAGGTGGGTAAATACATATATTATTGTGTGCTGAATTGAATTATATGCTTGTTTGAGTGTGTGTGTGTTTGAATGGGTTAACCACAAAAAAAGCCCCATACAATTGAGGGTATTTTTATTTAGCATTTTGAATTACAAATGACACGCTCATGATAATTACTACTAAGATCTGAGACATTCGCTTCGATATTTTTGTAATGTTATTTGCCTGTTAACATGTACAGTGCTGGTCACATAAGTAGCACAACCTTTATAGACGTAAGGTTTTTTTTATGGAATTATAATAAATATAATTTGTTTTAAAAACAAGTCGGTTAGTCGATGATGCGGACATATTTATACCCTTAACCTATGCCTATATTCCCTATTTTCGGAATTTTGCAGAATTCCATATATGTTTTTAACCGAAAAGGTTCCAATTACGATGCTAAATACAAAATTGAAACATTTCGATTGAAACAACTCGATATCGAGTGTCATAATATGCCCCCTTCGTCGTTTTGGATAGTAGACCCCTCGCGTCAACAATTTGAATAGCCCTAGGCTCATTTAAAAATCGAAGTAACTGTATTATTGCATTACGTGTTCCCGGTGTTGTTAAAGACAAGGTTATGCAAAGGTTTTACAAGGATTTCGAAAACTTCAGCAACATTTCCCAATCGGGCTGCAATTCGAGCGGCATCTCGAATTCCTGGCTGATTAATTTCTTCACTATAGGTCCTTTTTTTACCAATTTTGTATGCTGGGCCATATTTCTTTTTGTTTCAGAGCTGGATGTTATAAAAAATTCAGACTTAGGGATGATGAAACCTTTGAAAACAAATATTTTTAAAAATCTGGGCTCTATTTTACCTTAAGAATCATATTTTTTTAAAGATCTACAAAAAATTGCCAATAAAAAAAATCGAACCAAAGCTATGGTTGGGTTGGGTCTTAAAAATCCACATTTATGCCGTTTGAAAGAAAAGGAGAAAGGAGAAACGAATTTTCAGATAAAAGAAGGAAGAACAAGAAAAACGTGAGCAAATCGACATGTACAGGAGTCAGAATCAGTACCTCAATCGCTTTAATTTAATACCCATATTGCTAAATGTTAAAAATCGTGAGAAAATATAAGGGTCCCAACGGAGCTTTGGAGGCTCTTAACTCCGGAAATACCGATTTCCGCAAGAAAAAAAGTACACCGTTCTAATCAGGACCCCAAGGACTACATCCTCGAGGGGGCCCTACACTAGAATTAAGCCATCTTTTTTAAGCTCGGCTTATGGCACGAAAGTTCTGTCACAAGCCAGCTAAGTAAGTATGCCGTTTGAAAAATATACCTTGAAAAACATATATTTTTTAAAAAATTCCCTACTATGGTAGTAATGACTCTTCAAATACATATTCTTTATAAAAAATGGGTTCTTCAAATATATTCTTATAAAAAATGTTCTTTTAATTTTTGATTTTTTAACGATTCTGGAAAAAAATATTTTTTATAAGAATTTTTTGTTTCTATTTTAGACCTATATAATGACTCCATTTGCTTTTTTATTCCAGAATCACCTATCTGAGTGGACGCCTGCTAAGACAAGCTAATGTCAAGAAGGCGATTGCCAAATATTTGCCAACCGCCTTTGGTTTAACATCGATACCGTTTATTATCCCGCCAATTGATCATAGTGTGGACTATCTAATGGATAATACCTATAGGAAATTTGTGACAAAGGCAACGTAATGATAATAGCAACAACAATAACTAAATAACCATGTCATATAGAATATGGATGATGAACCTAGTCCTTATTTACATTAGTTTGTGTTCCTGGGCAATTAAAATTACCTAATGTAAATCAGGACCAAATTTTGAGATGGTGCCAAAACGAAACGGAAATAAGCTGACAACAACACAAAAAACACTCTACAATAAGCAATAACACTTTACAATAAACACAATTAGTATAATATTACTAAGTATTTTTTCTAGTAAATAAATTGTATAGTTTAAAAATGTTAGTACTTTTGGAAAAATGTAATTCAAGTACAAATTAAATGATTAATAAAATAATTTAATTTTGAAAAAAATATGTATATGGTCTTGGAAAATTGTGAACAATTCCAACATACAAAAAAAACATTAAAGAAAATTAGTAAAGTCGGACGGGGCCGACTATATGATACACTTCACCACTTTGGGTATATTCAACAGATGAATCCTAACAGACGTCACATTTTCAAAGAACCAGTAAAACGAAATTGGATCCATAAACATGTCATTCTGCAACCGATACTAAATTTTTCATTTGGTCAGATATAGAAGCTGTATCCAATTTCAATAGGGTTCGTCCTTGGGCCAAATAAGTGACCTATGCCAAATTTCATCCAAATCGGATCATAAATGCGACCTGTACTTTGTTCACAAAAATATATGGACGGACAGACGGACGGAGGGACATGCGTAAATCGACTCAGAAAGGTATTCTATGCATATTCTCAAAAGGAACCATGTGTCTATCTCGTTTCCTTTTCCCTGTTACAAAAATATGCACAAAGACATAATACCCTGTAACACACAGTGTGGTGAAGGGTATAAACATTTAGGAAAAGATAAACGTAACAAAAAATTCGTCAAACGAATATCAGTAGCCCTATAAATTAGCCAAGACAGTCGAATAGGAATAGACATAAAAAATATCTACTTGCCCGTACTTAAAATCTATAATGAAACATAATAATTTCAATTTATTATACTAGGCTTTGAAATTTTCGACAAGTTCTCCTAAAAAAATAACTTTTATTTTTAGTGTGAAAAATATTTTTTCTAGATATAGAACTATAAATTTTGTTAAATAAAAATATTAAAAATAGTTATCTATTGTTTAAACAATTATGTATTCGTTCCGCTCAAGTTCACAACTAACAAAATCGGTATTAAGATGGGCAGGTAATTTTCAAAGGAAGACCAATTACTGCAAACGTTTTTATGCCTCAAGCGATCCGAGAGTGACAGTAAGCATAAGCAACCCTCAATATTTTTGAAGAAATGTATTGGGATATGCAATTTTATTTTTTTTATCCCAAAAGAAAGGCCTCGTAATCGGAGTGTATCAAAAGGAGGGCGATAAGGATCCGAAGTTAACGACTAGTGGTGAAAAATTTGATGATCGGGTTCAGGGCAAGGTATCGGAACTTATTAAGGAGTAAGTAGAACAATTTGGCCATGGTAGATGTTCGTACTGATTTTAATTTGTATTTTGATTTCTTAGATGCAATATTACCGGTCAATTGGGTCGCGGCAAGGTGTTCAACAACATTGATCAAGAATATAGATCGGTGGCTGTAATTGGGGTTGGACGTGAAGGCGCCGCCTTTAATGAATTGGAGATGATTGATGAGGGCATGGTAAGTGGAATACTGAAGCATTAAGAAATTCGGATCGATAGGCTGAGGATGACTTTTCCCCACAGAAAAAAAAATGATTCTGTCACTGAGAATGATTTTTCCCTATATAAAAAAAAATCCTCAGCCACTTTTCCCAATAGGAAAGAATTCCTCAGTCACTGCGGATGACTTTTCCTAATAGGAAAAAATCTTCAGTCACTGAGGATGACTTTTCCCTCAAATGCTGAGGATATTTTTTCCAATTGGAAAAAAATGATCAGATATTTTTTTCTTATAGGAAAATTTTTTTTATTTTCTATTCTATTTCTTATAGGAAAATTTTCCAATATGAAAGAAATCCTCATGGCAGCAAAGCATGAGGATAATTTTTCCAATAAGAAAAAAAATTCTCAGAGGCTATGTATAATTTTTCCCATAAGAAAAAAAAATCTCAGAGGCTGAGGATAATTTTTCCCAGTAACAAAAAAATTCTCGAAGTATTTCCAATAGGAACGAGAGGCTGTGGATATTTTTTCCTATTGGAAAAAACCTCAATGACTGATGAACATTTTTTCCCATTGGAAAAAATCCTTCCTATTGGAAAAAAAATCCTCACAGGCAGAGAATAATTTTTTCCCCAAGGAAAAAATCCACAGTGGCTGAGGATTATTCTTATAAGAAAAAAATATGCAGAGGAAATTTTTTTCCAATAGGAAAAGAAACATTCAGAGGCGGAGGATACTTTTTCCTAATAGGAAAAAAATTATCCGCAGCCTCTGAGAATTTTTTCCTATTGGAAAAAAGTATCTTCTGCCTCTGATTATTTCTTTTCCTTTAAAAAAATTCCTCTGCACATTTTTTCCCAAGGAGGCTGGGGATAATTTTTCCTAAACGGAAAACTCATCTTCAGCAGCTAAGGCTAATATTTCCTATACGGAAAAGTCATCCTCTTCCCCATTGAGGATTCTTTAAACCTCCTTTTCTCCCGTTTCGTTTTTCCCCTCCCCAGGAAAACGTTCGCATTGCCACTGGTGTTGGCGCTCGCAGTCTACAACTGCAAGGTTGTTCAGAGGTATTTGTTGACTCTATGGAATATCCCGAACAGGCGGCAGAGGGTAGCGCCCTAGCCGTATGGCGTTACAATGATAATAAACAAAAGAAAAATCGAACGTTGGTACCGAAATTAGAGCTATATGATTCACCTGATGTTGATGCCTGGACGAGGGGTCTGTTCAAAGCCGAATCACAGAATTTGGCAAGACGTTTAAGTGATGCTCCAGCTAATCAAATGACTCCCACAACCTTTGCCCAGGCTACCGTTGATGCGCTCTGTCCGTGTGGTGTGACGGTAGAGATACGCACCATGGAATTTATAGAACAACAGCATTTGAATTCTTTTCTGACAATTGCAAAGGGTTCGTGTGAACCTCCCGTTTTGTTGGAGATTAGTTATTGCGGTACGGCGCCGGAGGATAAACCGATTTTGTTGTTGGGCAAAGGAATGACATTCAATAGGTTGGTAACATAAATTGAGGATCCAAGAGGTATAATAGAATATCGAATAGATCTTCAAATAGAAGCCATAATAATTTCACTAATAGAAGACGCAGAAGGTCTTCTTATAAAAAAACCTTTTAGGTCTTTTTATAGAAGACCCTTTAGGTGTTTTTTAGACTTTGAGGAACTTTAAAAAATGTTTGATCTGTTTTTTTTTAGTGGTGGCATTTGCCTCCGACCCTGCAAGGGCATGGATGAGTATCGTGGATCCATGGCCGGAGCAGCGGTGTGTGTGGCCGCAATTCGTGCTGCTGCCGCACTCTCCCTGCCAATCAACATCTCCGCTGTTATACCATTATGTGAAAATATGCCCTCCGGTATGGCCTGCAAACCGGGTGATGTTGTGACCCTGCTAAATGGCCGGACATTGGCAATTAGAGTAAGTCCGAAAAATCAATTTTTTCTGAAAAAAAAAAACAAAAATTTAAATATATAAAAATTCTCTTAGGATACTGACAAAGCTGGTGTTGTGGTTATGGCCGATCCCCTGCTTTATGCCCAAACAACATATAAACCCCGCTTGGTAATTGATGTCGCCACCCTGGGTAGTGGTGTGGTGAAAGGGCTGGGTGGTAGTGCTACGGGTATTTTCTCAAATTCCCATTATATTTGGAAACAGTTTCAAAAGGCCGGCTCCCTGACGGGAGATCGTATGTGGCGTTTGCCCTTATGGAATTATTATAAGAAATTGGTGACAAGTAAGGAACAGAGAATGGACTCCTCTTTCATTATTTCAGATAAATAATTTATATATATATTTACAGATAACATTAGCTTTGATATTAGCAACAATGGAGATGGACCGGCTTCAAGCTGTTTGGCGGCAGCTATTTTACATGTATGGGACCAAGGATTCTAGGAATTTTCAGATAATTCAAAAAAGTTTTTTTTTTAAATTTTTCTTTAGGAATTTGTACCCTGTGTTGATTGGGCCCACTTGGATATACGCGGTGTAGGCATGCTGACCCATTATGGTACCATACCCTATCTATTGAGAGATCGTATGACTGGCCGTCCTACTCGGACTCTTGTACAATTTCTATATCAAATGGCTTGCCCGGATGCAAATAAATAAATTCGATTGTGCAAAAGTGACATCACTTAATTTTCAGGTTATGTTGTAATTTCCAAAATTTTGTGTATTTGTTTTTATGTTGTTATTGTATATATTTTTGTATGTTTTTGTTTTTTCTAAATTCTATTTTTTAATATATTTATGAGTTGTTTGTATAAGAAAATTGTTTTTTGATTGAAAAAATCCTCCGTTTTGGAAAATAAATTCTCAGTCGCCGAGGATGACTGTTTCCTATAAGAAAAAATCCTCGTAGGGAAATATTTCCTCATAAGAAAAAATCCAAATGGGCTTTGGATATTTTTTCCTGTAGAAAAAAATCCTCAGAGGCTAAATGGGTGGCGTAGGGGATGATAGATACCAAGCAACGGCTCTTATTGGCTTTAATTGTGGACACTGACCTCCCCGCGGTGCCACCTGAGGTAACTATTTCCATCACTCGATGAAATAGTGAGCTAATATGTGCCGCGAATTCACCCATAGGAACTCATTAGTAAGTAGGCTAGGGATAACTTTTCGGTTCTCAGTTTCTGCAATGAAATAAATTTTCTTGGCTTAAAGCTTTTCGTATATTTCGTTTCATTTCTCGTTTTCTTGCTTACTATAAAATTTTAGAAAAATAATTGCTTATTTTATGTTAATATAATAACAACATATAAAATGGAATAAAAATTAATCAACCAAATATGGACTGTCCAGAGCACCCAATCCAGCGGCAACACCGCCTTCATTGGCAGTGGCAACTTTGGTGCGCAACATATGGCCAGCTTGATAATTGCAAATGATGTTATCCACATCACCAATGACCACACCAAAAATACCCAGTTCCGAAACCACCTCCACTAAAGGTGGTGGCATCGAACCACCGGGACGTATCATATAACCCTTGGATATGGGTGGCTTAATGAGGTCCATTAAAATCCAGGCCGAACGTTCAACGCGTGACATTTTCTGTTTAATAACAAAAAAATTAAAATTTAAAAAAAAAAACATTGGTTCCTGATATCCTCACCCTCAATGCATCTGGTATATCCAAGCCATAGACATTATTGCCGCCACCTTCCCGCTGTGGCTTTAAAACAAAACGTTCCGGTTCCTTTAAAGCCATTTCATAGGTTTTATTACCCACATCATTATCATCCAGGGAATAGAGTCCCGTAAAGATTTTACCAATTGCTTTAATTTCCTCGGGATCACTTATAAACCGTTCCAACATTTCCGGTTGAGCCAAGGCTTGCTGAACTTTTTTGGTACCAGCCAAATGATAGTGTATAGAGGGGCATTTTATGGCCGTGGAACTTTCCATTAAGTATCGGGCATCCCATTCATTGTGTGAATGATAATGACCAGGTTCATAGCCGGCCCGGAAATATATTACAGCTACTTCAAGGTCTCCTCTGTATATTGAAATAGAAAAAGTTTTTTTTATTATTTTTTGAGTGTAGTTAAATAAGAAGAAGCCAGTTACTTACATAATTAATTCTTTGCCAAGACCAAGTTTGCCAGTATCATGCACCTCAGTCAGGGTTCTACGTATAACTTTAATGTGTGGATATTTTTCACGAATATAGAATTCATGGAAGCGCTAGAAGAAAAAAGTCGTACATGAAAAAATCGATCATCAAAAAATTATAAGTATCTGCAAATGATTTTTCTTATAAGAAAAAATCTTTTGTATAATAATTGTCAAAGAATGAGAATATTTTTTTTCAATAGGAAAAAATGGAATTGATTAAAAATGACTTTTTCTAATATGATCTTTAATGATTGAGTATGTCTTCTTCCAGTAAGAAAAAAATCCACAGTGGCTGAGGATGACATGTTCCAATAGGAAAATAACTACCAATGACTGAGAATGACATTTTCCAATAGGAAAATATTATCAATGACTTAGAATGGCATTTTCCAATAGGAAAATAATTATCGATGACTTATAATGACATTTTTCAATAGGAAAATAATTATCAATGACTTAGAATGACATTTTCCAATAGGAAAATATTATCAATGACTTAGAATGACATTTTCCAGTAGGAAAATAATTATCAACGACTGAGAATGATTTTTTAATAGGAAAAAATCGCAGTGGATGAGACCTTTTTCAATAGGAAAAAATTCGTAGTGGATAAGGTTGACTTTTTCCAATAGGAAAACATTTCTCAGTGGATGATATGTATAACTTTGTCTAATAGGAAAAATCGCATTAATAAAAAAAAAATTTCTAATAGGATCTTTAATGACTGATCATGAATTAATCAGTATCTGCGGATGATTTCTTCCAATAGGAAAAAAAATTCCCATTGGCATTTTCAAATAGGAAAAAATCGCAGTGACTGAGTAACATATTCCAATGTGAAAAAAGGCTCAGTGGCTGAAAATGAATTTTCCAATAGGAAAATAATTCTCAATGACTGAAATTGACTATTTTCACTTGTTTCTTATAAGAAAAAATCATTTGTATAATAATTGTCAAAGAATAAGAATAACGTATTGGAAAGTCATTCACAGATACAGGATAACTTTTTCCAATTGGAAAAAAATAACTTTAATAACTGAGCATGAATTTTTCCTATGAGAAAAAAATTCAACAGTATTTTCCAATAGGAAAAAAATTCTCAGTGGCATTTTCAAATAGGAAAAAAATGGCAGTGACTGAGGATAAATTTTTTCAATAAGAAAAAATGCTCAGTGGGTGAAAATTAATTTTCCAACAGGAATATAATTGTCAATGACTTTTTTCTAATTGGAAAATTATTCTCAATGACATAGATTGACATATTCCAGTAGGAAAAAAATATCAGTGCTTGAGGATGATTTTTTTTCTTATAAGAAAAAATCATTTGTATCATAATTGTCAAAGAATGAGAATAACTTTTTCTAATAAGAAAAAAATTGCATTGCTTAAGAATGAATTTTCCTAATAGGAACTTTAATGACTGGTGATATTGCGGGTGATATTTTCCAATAGGAAAAAATCCCCATTGGCATTTTCAAATAGGACAAAAATCGCAGTGACTTAGGATGACTTTTTCCAATATGAAAAAATGCTTAGTGGCTGAAAATGAATTTTCCAATAGGAATACAATTATCGATGACTTTTTCCCAATTGGAAAATAATTCTCAATGACTGAGATTAAAATTTGTCAATAGGAAAAAAATCTCAGTGGTTGTGGATGACTTTTTTTATAAGAAATCATTTGTATAATAATTTGTAATAATAATAATTGTCAAAGACTGAGGGAAAAAATTAATCAAAATCTGCGCAGTGACTGGGGATGAATTTTTTCAATATGAAAAAAAATAAATTAATTTTTCAATAGGAATATAATTGTCAATGACTTTTTCCAATTGGAAAATAATTTTCAATGACTCAGAATGACTTTTTTCAATAGGAAAAAATCTCAGTGGTTGAGGATGACTTTTTTCAATACGAAAACATTTTTAGTGGCTGAATATAATTTTTTTATTTATGAAAAAATCTAAATTGTTTGAGTTTTATTTTTCTTATAAGAAAAACTATCAGCAGTATATGTAAATGACAGTTTCCAATAGGCGAAAAATAATATATTTAGTGACTGAGGATAACTTTTTCCTAGAAGGAAAAAAACTCATTGTCAAAACATTGAATATTTTTAAATCGAAAAAAATTCAGTGTGCGGTTTTGTCAATAAGAAAAAATCCTCAATGACTGAGGAAAAGAAAAAATCTTCAGAGACTGATGATCCTATAGAAAAAAATCTTCAGTGGCTGTAGATGAGTGTTTTTCCTATCAGAAAACAATCTCAGCAGCTGAGGATGTTTTTTTCTTATGAGAAAACAATTTATAAGAACTGTGGATAACTTATGTTATGGATAAAAAAATTCTCAGTATCTGAGAACGATTTTTTCCAATAGAAAATCAGATAAATTCTAAGGTGAAATTTTTTTTCATAAAGGGATGATATAGGGGAGATTTTTTCCCGCATAGGAAAAATTTACCCCAGCTACTGGGAATGATTTTTCCAGTATACGAAAAAGTTAATCTCAGTTATTTAGGTTAAGAAAATTAATCCCCAATTATTGAGCATGATTTTTCCCGTATAGAAAACAATTGAAGGTTACTGAAGGCTACATACCTGATCACAAATATTATATGTGATATCCTCAACAATGAACATAATTACAGCCTTGGGATTATTATAGATTTCCCAGGCACGAACCATACCGCCACAAATGCCAGCCAAGGCTTGGTTATCGGGCATCTGCAAAAATTAATTTCAAAATAAAAAAAATTAAAAATAAAAAAATTAATAAAAAATATTAAACAAAAAAAAATAGTAAAAGCTTACATTTTTCAATTTTTCAGCTTGATCCAGTTCAGTCAGGACAAAGCTAAAGCGGGGGATGTTGAAATGAAAAAAATACATATTAATAAAAATTATTTAAAAAATATACCAAACAAAAGCCGAAATTCCCACTGTATTAATTGGGGTTTCCTCGGGCTTTTGTAAAGTATTTAAAAACATGATTTTTTTTAAACAAAAACTACAATAACATTTACAAAGATTTACAGAACAAAAGAAAAATACAATTACTTTCTTATTTACTACAAATTACTTAGCAACTAATCAAATTTAGCAACTGGAAATTTTATAAAAAAATAAGAAAAATAAATGGAAAAATAGACAATTTCAAACTACAACTACATTTATAAATTATGCCATTCCTTTTCGCATATATACACGGGCACACGAACAAAATGATATGAAGAAAAAATAGAAACACTGCAACTACTTAAATATTAAATAAATAAAAAAGAAAGGACAAGAAAAAAAGTAATTTCTATTTTTTTTCGGAAATACCTCTGCAGAGGCAACATGTGTGTTGAAATGCCACCAAAACTGGAGGCAATTGTGTTGATTTCAACCTGTTTTATGGCATTGTCTTCATAGATGTGAGCCAAATAGTCGGAACGTAATATGCCAAGGGATAGGTTCTGTAATTGCACGTTTACCAAAAAAAGAACAAAGAAAAAACATAAACAAAATAAAAATTATAAACAAACATAGAAATCAAAAAGACAATTGGCAACAAATATACCTGCCAATTGTAAGGAAGATAATATTATAAAACCAAATGATTGACAGACGATCGATCGATTGAATGATGACTGTTATTGTTTTTGTGGGAGGATAGTGGAGTGTAATTTGAAATGAATTTAAGAAGGACGGAGGAGGAGAAGTCATTTGATATGAAATTTCGTTTGAATATATTTTATTTTAAATTTTTATTTCACACACGTACACACTAAAACTCCAACTACACTGCGAAAAAAGAATCCCTGGCCAAACTGTATGCCAAAAAAAAAAAAAAACAGAAGAAACAAATAATACATCAATATATAGAAATATATATCTCAAAAGCTATCATGCAATAGTTCAATATTATTAATAATAAAAAGCATTATTTCAAAACAAGCATTCTCTAACAAAGCATCAACATAAACAATATCCAAAAATTAAATACGTTAAATAGCATTTAAATAAGATTATTAGAATAATTGTAAATTAAAATAAGCCTATAAACAGCTGAACATGGTTATATGAGTTTTTGAAATAAATAAGCCACTTAAAAATTTATATTATACGGCATTTACATTAGAACTTTTTACCGGGTTATTTGGCATATATTCAAAGGAATTGAAAATTTAAACCCACTGGGTTAACCAAATCCGGTTAAATGTAAACGACCTTTGAGTTTAGGAAATTTTTTTTCTTATTGGAAAATATATTTTTCGTGTTGAAAAAAAAATCATTCTAAATCGCTCATAATTTTTTTCTGATAGGAAAAATTATCCTCAGTCACTGCGAATTTTTCCTTTTATACTCAGGCACTGAACCTTTTTTTCTGTACGGGAATAGTTTATTTCCTATTGGAAAAATTCAACATCAGCCTCTAATTTTTTTTCGTATTATAAAAAAGTCTTTATCAACCACTGATATGTTTTCCTTTTGGAAAAAAATCATCCTCAGTCTCGGCGATTTATTTTGCTATTGGAACATTTCATTTTCAGTCACTGATGATTTTTTCCTATTAGAAAGTCATTCACAGATGCAGATGATTTTTTTATAAAGTAATCAAAAGCCATTGAGATATATTTTCGAATTGGAAATTTTACTCACACATAATGAATGACCTTTTCCAATTTAGAAATTCAAACTCAACAACTGTGGATTTTTTCCTATTGGAAAAAATCATTTTCAGTCAGTGAAAAATGTTTTCCTATTGGAAAAAGTCATTCTAAGTCATTGATAATCATTGGATAACCAATTTATAACCAATTGGAAAAAGTCATTGATAGATATTTTCCTACTAGAAAAGCCTTTCACCGTCTCTGAGGATTTATTCCGATTGGAAAAAATCCTCCAAAATACCTCAATCACTGTGATTTGTTTCCTATTTGAAAATGCCTCTGAGGATTTTTTTCCTATTGGAAAAAAAGTCTTTTATGGATACTGGTATTTTTTTTTCTTATAGAAATTTTTACAGTTTTTCATGATTTTTTTCTTATAGGAAAATCATACTCAGTCACTAATAAATATTTTCCAATTGGAAAAAGTAAAATTTAAAAAATATATATTTAACATTGATAATTTTTTTCCTATTGGAAAAAGTCTTTCATTTTTTTCTTATTTGAAAAGCCATACTCGGCCTGTGGGAAATTTTTTCCCAATTGGATAAAATAATCTCCAGGCAGTGTGAAGTTTTTTTTCCTATTGAAAAAAGTCCTTTTTAACTTATGCGATTTTTTCCAATTAGAAAAAGTTATCCTTCCAATTGGAAAAAGTAATATTTAGTCATTAATAATTATTTTTCTATTGAAAAAAATAATTAACATTGATAATTTTTCCTATTGGAAAAAGTCTCACTTTTTTCTTACAGGAAAATCCTCCGCCTTTGGAAATTTTCCCATAGGATAAAATCATCTTCAGTCAGTGTGAAATTTGTTCCTATTGAAAAAAGTCGTTCTTAATCTGTGCGATTTGTTTCAAATTAGAAAAACTTATTCTCAGTGTCTGATAATTATTTTATTATTGGAAAATTTTTTTATTGGAAAAACTCATTTACAAATACTAATGTTTTTTTATAGGAAAAAAAATCAACCTCAGTCACTAAAGATATTTTTTCCAATTGGAAAAAGTCATTCACAAAATAAGAGTTTTTTCTATTGGAAAAAGTCATCCTCACCCATAGTCCTTTCATGCTCAATCATCGAGGATTTTTTCCTATTGGGGACTTTTTCCAATTAAAAAAAAAATAATCCTCAGTCATTCAGAATTTTTTTCTATAGAACAAAAATCTTAAGCAGCCACAGAGTATACTTTTCCCCTTGGAAAAAATAATGCTCAGATACTGAGAAATTTATTCCTATTGGAAAATGTCATTCTCCGACACTAAAGATTTTTTTTCTATTGGAAAAAGTTATTTAGCCAATGATACATTTATTCTTATTGGAAAAAATGATACTCAGTAAGTGAAGATTTTTTTAAATTTCTTCCTATTGGAAAAAGACACTAAGGATTTGTATCCTACTGGAAAAAGTTATTCAGCCAATTTTTTTCTTTTTGGAAAAAAATTATACTCTATAAGTGAAGATTTTTTTCCTATTGGAAAAAGTCATTCTCCGACACTAAGGATTTTTGACTATTGGAAAAAGATTTCAGCCAATGATAATTTGTTTTCTTATTGGAAAAAAATGATACTCTGTAAGTGAATTTTTCTTATTAGAAAAAAATCAAAAGAATGCAGGACATTCCTAGAAAAAATCTAAATTCACTTAATTAAATAGCTGATTCACTATAACCATATTCGACACTGTCAATAATTTGACATCAAAAATGTAGCTAATAAAAAAATACAATTATTAGTAAGTAATTACAGTTATAGTAATAATAAAATAACAACAACAAATAAATTAGTCAATACAATAATTATTTTGCACCTTTGTATGGCTTTACTGGCCGGTCCTAAATGACCAAAACCAGATGCGATTGTATTAATTTCAACTTGTTTCCAGCAACAGTAGGCACAGGGTTTCAATTCATTCGCTTCGTTATTGCTTCCACTTTTATCATCTAATAGATCTTTACATCTTGTTTCCAACATCAAATCACTTCGTAAAATACCCAACGATATGCGCTATTTATTATTTTGTGATTTTCGATTTTTTGTATTATTTTGCATGATGTTTCATGATAAAGGTAGGAAAAAAACATATGCGAAAAAAGAAAATAAAGAAAATTAAATGTATAAATAATAAAAATGAAGAAATAAAAAAAAACAGAAAAAATGACACATGAGACATAATAAAAAAACATTTGTTAATTAATTATCCAAAAATAATAAAAATAAAATATTGTTATTTGGTGTGGGTTTTTGGTAACAGGCTATTACTATTATGAAAAAAATGATCCTAATGAAGAAATGATCTCGAATTTATGAATTTATGTATTAATGAGGAACCACAATTTTAAATTACAGACAATTTGGTTAAAAAGTGTCCAAACACCTTGAAAAATATTCTTTAATAAATTCACGCCTCAGTTGACCCTTGAAAAATGTATTCTTTAATAAATTTAGAGCTGCCATTATATGGGCGTTATCCTAAAAACCTGACCAATATGGATAATATGGGAAGTTTTCTTTAATAAAACCATCAATCATTTGAAAAACAAGTTATGATAATATTTTAGATTTGCTACCCAATGAAAGCTTCCAACATTAAATTACTGTCAATTCGATTAAAATGCGTGTCAAAAAATCCCAAATTACCGAATATTAAGGTGTACCGTTATGTGGTGGCTATACCAAAATGTTGCCCTATATATGCAAAAATCCTAGAAGCATTGACAATGTATGAGCAAAATTTCAAAGTTCTTTCTTAGAAATTGCGACCTAAATTGTGATTTCAAGAGACATTCGGACAGATATGGCTAAATCGAAATAGAATTTAATTCCAATCTGGAGCATATCTACTTTACTTTATGGTGCGTCCGTGGAATATTTCGAGGTGCTGCCCACAGAATTAACTTTTGCTTAAGGGTATACAGATGTGTCATTCATATTGAGGAGCAGTGGGCACTGGGTATTAAAAAAACTAATTGAAAGGATCAGATTTGTCAATGACTGCCTCTTGAAGGTCTTTGTCAGCAGATACCGTGTTCGGTCTAGCATATGGCTTCCTCTGTCTCTGACTACGAACCTTGGAGTTAGCTTTTACAGAGAAGGTTGATCTGTCATATGGCATACTCTGTCTCTGACTACGAACCTTGGAGTTAGCTTTTCCAGAGAAGGTTGATGCCTTTTTCTCCGCCGTTTGATGTCCAGATTATGTCATATGGCTTCCTCTGTCATTGACTACGAACCTTGGAGTTAGCTTTTTCAGTGGAGGTTAATGCCTTCTCTTTACTAGGTTTTCTCTCCGCCGTTTTGTTTATTATGTAATGGGTCAATCAGACGCGAAGTTATCGTCTTCTTGGGTGAAGGTTGCGGACCTTCTGATGAGCGAATGCGCTTCACAGATTTGCTCGGCGCGGCGGCATTTGCTCTCCCAGGAGACGATGGTTCCTTGCCGAACTTGCCCTTCTTCCCATCCCACCAGTGATGGATACACTCAAAGTTTTAGCACCAACCGATAATTTGTCGTTAGGAGTAGAATGAGACAGAGCCATCCACACGTTGAATAACAGTTTGTGTCGGGATGTTCTCAGTAGCCTTTACCTTTGCTTTTTGACTCGGTTTAGGCTTCGAGACATTTGTTCCTGTTCTGCTTTGCATTTCGCGATTAAAAAGTTGACAGTAAGAGAAGACTAAGACATGAATTCGCCTACCGGTTAACCTTATGAATAACCCTTATAGCTAATATGAATTTTTTTCCGAAATGACAAATGTTGGATAAGATGTGTTGTTGTTGTTTGTAAATGACAAATGACAATGTTATCCTGTACGCTTATGGTTTCAATACAATTTGAAATAAAATAAATTTTGACAATCCAAAAAAAGGGAACTGAATACAGTTTTTGTTAATAAAACGAACAAATAAAAACAAAAACAAACGCAAACTTACCTGGCCAAAACCACTTGCCAATACTTTTTTATAGATATTAAATAAATTCGCCGTAAATTCATCGACTTTAATTGTCTCAGCCAAAGTGGTGGTGAGAAATTCTTCATCGTGTGCCACATTGTGCATCAGACGATTGATGATGGTTTGTAAAGCCACAGCCTTTTCGAATTCTTTACGGGGAAATGATGATGGTGTCAGTAAGAATGGTGCGAACTGAAAATAAAAAGGGTGATTTTTTTAATGACTCAAATTAGAAAAAGAACAATTTTTTTCCGTACTTACATTTAATGAATCAGGACTAAAATTAGTTTTCGATCTCATTGCAGCACCATGCATAATCGCCCAATCTTTGGCCTTTTCCGTGACTTCTATTAATTCCGGTTCATTTAGGGGCAGTGGTATGCATTCCTCTAAGGTGGTGGGGTTTTCAGCGGCCATGATTTGTGGTTGATGATAAATTCAAAACTGAAATTAAAAGAAATGTTTAATTTTGTTAAGTCCTTTTAGTCTCGAGTTTTATAACCCCCCTCCCCTCTTCCACCAACAATGTCCAACGTCAAAAAATATCGTAAAGTGTGATATTTTAATAGCGATTAAAAAATTGTTAATTATCATGATTTAGCACTTTCGTAGTATTTAGACCACCAACCCAGCTCCCGCCCATGATATGCACGTACAAATGTATGTCTGTATGTATATTCCCTTTCATTTGTACATATGTACTTAGAGATATCAACCAACCATCCCTAATGTTTATTTAATAAATTTGCTTGTTTTTTTGTTGTTTACCAACAACTTCTGTTTTCCGAACTCACATTATCGGCAACAGAAGAAAATTTCGTAGTTGGGTTATTTCGACACTTGTTGAATTTTTTCAATATAAACCCCAATATTTCGCAATTATTCTCAATATTCAATTTTATGGTATTGAAGATGATCCAAAATCGGAATCACCTCTTTTCAAATAATAATACTCCGCTGAGATTTAAAACAAAACTACCGGGAACTCACTTCAGCGATGAAAAAACCACTTCGAATTGTGAAAAATAAATATTTTGATAAAAAATACAATGTGACAGTTCGGTTCATATGGTTGCCAAGCTCCGCAGATATTGGAATGGACAACGGGGAACTTTTGAAAAAGCTTAAAAGCTGTTTACATATGATTTTATTTGACAGTTTTTTGAATATGGGTATTTTTAATTATTAAAAAAAAATTAAATTTAAAAATTATTTAAAAAATATCTACGCCTTCTTTAAGTCCTTAAAAATTGATTTTAAAAAATATCTACGCCTTATTTAAATCATTAAAAAATGATTTTAAAAAATCTACGCCTTGTTTAGGACCAGTAAAATGAAAAATCCATAAACATGTCATTTTGCAACCGATACAAAATTCACCACTTTGGGTATATTCTAACAGATGAAGATTTCAGGAAACTTAACACATCATTTACTAATTCATAAATCCAAATTCGGGCAAATCGAAGAATATATAGGAACTTTGGTGCACCATTTACATTAAATCGGACGAATATATATATGGGAGCTATATCTAAATCTGAACAGATTTTTACGAAATTTAACACACATCATTCTAGGCCTTATTCAGTACGCTGAACCAAATTTCGTGAAAATCGAAGGATATATAGGAACTTCGGTGCACCATTTACATAAAATCGGACGAAAATATATATGGGAGCTATATCTAAATCTGAACCGATTTTTACGAAATTTAACACACATCATTCTAGGCCTTATTCAGTACTCTGTGCCGAGAAGCAAATGTGAACAGAAATGACTCTCTGTACACTAAACATCACATGTCACTCGCCTACGCCGATGACATCGACACAATGGGTCGAACATTGAGAGCGGTAACAGCCACCTTTAAACAAATTGATAAGGAGTCTGCCAAAGTGGGTCCGGGACAGAACGGCGAGAAGACCAATCTGATGGTATCAACGCGCAAGATGTATAGTAGACTCGAACCAATTGTGAAACTTGAGAACTACTGCTTCGAGGTAGTCGAAGATTTTATATACCTTGGTATCGCCATAAATAAAACGAATGCCATCAGTTTTGAAATTCGGAATAGGATCGTGATATCCAACCGATGCTACTATGATCTGACCAAACAACTCAAAAGCAAGGCCACCTCCCGGCAAACCAAACTCATACTCTACAAGACGCTGATACTACCCGTGCTGTTATATGGATCTGAAGCATGGGTACTTGCGCAATAAGATGAGGCAGCTTTTGGAGTGGTGTTTGAGAGAAAAATTCTCCGAAAGATCTATGGGCCGATCTGCGTTGACGGTGAATATCGCCGTCGAATGAACCATGAGTTGTACAAGCTGTTCTCGGACATCGACATTGTTAGACGTACTGAGCTGCAGCGGCGACTACGTTGGCTAGGTCATGTTGTGAGAATGGATGAAGATACCCCAGCCCAGAAGGCATATAAAAGCGAACCAGCTGATGGTTCACGCAGAAGGGGAAGGCAACGAATACGATGGAAAGATCATGAGTTGTACCAGCTGTTCTTGGACATCGACATTGTTAGACGTATTGAGCTGCAGCGGCGACTACGAGCCCAGAAGGCACATAAAAGCGAACCAGCTGATGGTTCACGCAGAAGGGGAAGGCAACGAATACGATGGAAAGATCAAGTCGAAGACATCATTGCCGAAAATGGTCTTTCCAATTGGAAAAACTGCGTAAAAGACCGACGCGCCTGGAAATCTTTTTTAAGCTCGGCTTATGGAACAAACGTTCTTTCACAAGCCAACTAAGTAAGCAAGTCTTAGAAAAACAAGCCACGTCTGGTTTAGGACCTTGAAAATCCAAATCTATAAAAATCCAGCCCTTAAAAATATTTTCAAACTTTTTGAAAAATGCAAACTTTTTTCTAATTTCTAAAACGAAAAAATATTTTTAAAAAAAACCCATTGCCATTGCATTGAATTCCACTCAACAGGAACTAGTTCCGTTCGCAATGACACAACTCTACATCACAATTCGATCTATGTAACCCTAATTTGCATCGTCTTCATAATCATCATTTTGTTGTTTTTCTGTCAGAAAACGCAGAAGAATAGTTGAAATTTGTCGGTGTAGAAGAGAAAAAACAGTAATAGAAATAGAAAAAAAATAGAAGACGAAAATCCATCAAAGCAAAACAATTATTTCCAAGGAATTTCAGACAAAACGATATAACTAAGTAGGTATAAATAATTCAATAATTATTTGGCATTAACAAAAGACGCAACAAGAAGGAGGTTCAAACCGAAAATATCATCATCATCGAATACAAATTAACCGAACCGAGTGATGGATGCATTAGTCATAGCCCAGATTGTGGATGTTTGTGTTGTGCAGCAGCATAGCATTGTAGGAACGAAATTTAGTTTTTTCATTGATGGTATATCCCTTCAATGTCAACTACATAGTAGCGGAATATGATGTCACTCCAAAAACCAACAATAACAAAACAAACAAAAAATGGTGAAGGAACTGTCCCTCCTCCACTGAAGGAGTTGTACTACCTTCCCTCATTTATTTGTTGCTTTAACACTTTTGTTTATTGATTTTCGTTTGTTGTTGCCTATTTATAGTTAAGTTTTGGTCATCATGGCTGCTGGTACGACCCTACAAAAGGCTATCGATTTAGTGACAAAAGCCACCGAAGAGGATCGCAATAAAAACTATGCTGAGGCTTTGCGTTTATATGAACACGGCGTGGAGTATTTTCTTCATGCCATTAAATGTAAGTATATTTCGGATATGAAGGAATGGAGTGATTGGAAGATTAATCGTTTATTTTATTGATTAAGATGAGGCCCAAGGTGAAAAGGCCAAAGATTCTATACGGGCCAAATGTCTGCAATATTTAGATCGTGCCGAAAAACTTAAGGAATACCTGAAGAAGGGCAAAAAGAAGCCTGTCAAGGAGGGTGATTCGAGTTCCAAGTAAGTAGAAGTTTTTATGAAGGACGAGTGTAGCCCTAGACTTAACAAAAACCATAAGATTTTTTCAGAGTTAGATAAATTTTTGAGAAATATTTTGTTAAGGACTCAACAAAGGAGTGTAAAAGTAAAAAGAAAAAAATATTTTTGAACGTCTTAGAAAAGGATTTGATTTAAAAAAAAAAAATATTTTTAGGGGTATAAATAGAAGCATCTAAACAAAAGCATATATTTTAACGCTATTTTTGAGGGCCTAATAGAGACGTAGATTTCTTAAAAATAGTTTTTGAAGGTCTTAGGAAAGTTTAGATTTCTAAAAAATTTTTGAAGGTCCAAGCAAAGAGTTTTTTTAAGCTCTTAGCAAAGACATCGATTTTTTTTTAAATGTTTTTTAAAAAAAAAATATTTTTAAAAATAGCTAAGTCCATAACTTTTTGTTTAAATCTAAAATATGTGTCACCTCCACTGTTGGTCATTGAAAAAAGTTATTTAAAAAAATCACATCTCTGTTGATCCTTGAAAAATATTTCAAAATCAAATTTTTTATATTAAACCTTAATTTTTTTAATCCACGCCCATTGCTATAACAACCACTTGCTCCTAAAAAAAAGTTATTGAAAAAAACAACACCTCTGATCCTTGAAAAAATCTTTTAAATTCCAATTTTCTACATTAGAAGGCTTCGAAAAATTGGCAAAAACCAAGCTTCAATGTTAAAAGACCCCAAAAATTTTCTTTAACAAATCCACTTGTCATTCTTGAAGAAAATTCCTTGGTCCTTGATTTTTTTAAAAAATCTACGCCTTAGTCCTTCTATGAAAAAAAAAACTTTAAAAATTCACGGCTTAGTCCTTGAAAAGCTTCTATGAAAAATCTTTAAAAATCCTCGCCTTAGTCCTTGAAAAGCTTTTATGAAAGAAATCTTTAAAAATCCTCGCTTTAGTCCTTGAAAAGCTTTTATGAAAAAACCTCACCTTAGTCCTTGAAAAGCTTTTATGAAAAAAGCCTTTAAAAAAATCTTTAAAAATCCACGTAGTAGCTCTTTGAAATACCTTAATGAGAAAATCTTTAAAAATCCACGCTTAGTCCTTGAAAAGTTTCTTTGAAAAGCATTAATGAGAAAATTTTTAAAAATCCACGCCTTAGTCCTTGAAAAGTTTCTATGAAAAAATCTTTAAAAATCCACGCCTTAGTCCTTGAAAAGTTTCTATGAAAAAATCTTTAAAAATCCACGCCTTAGTCCTTGAAAAGATTCTATAAAAAATGTTTAAAAATCCACGCCATAGTTCTTGAAATATAGTTCACGCCTTTATATATTCACGCCTTGGTGCTAAAAAATTCTTAAAAATCCACGCCTTCTGACTTGAAAAATGGTTTAAAAATCCATGCCTTGTTCCTTGAAAAATCCAAGGACTAATCGTGCAGAGAAATTCTTTAAAAATTAAAACTGCTGCTATATTCGTCCTTGAAAAATTGTCTGTAAAAATCCAACATTTGTTGCCTTCTAAGAAATAAAAAAATCATAATTTTTATTTTTCTTCTTCTCCCCCTTCCAGAGATGACAAAGACAAGAAAAGCGATAGTGATTCGGATGGTGAAGATCCCGAAAAGAAGAAGCTACAAAGTAAATTGGAAGGTGCCATTGTCATTGAAAAACCACATGTCAAATGGTCAGATGTTGCCGGCTTGGATGCCGCCAAGGAGGCCTTAAAAGAAGCCGTCATTTTACCCATTAAATTTCCACATCTCTTCACCGGCAAACGTATTCCCTGGAAGGGTATTTTACTCTTCGGTCCACCCGGTACTGGTAAATCATATTTGGCTAAAGCTGTTGCCACCGAAGCAAACAATTCAACATTCTTCTCCGTATCAAGTTCGGATTTAATGTCCAAATGGTTGGGTGAATCTGAGAAATTGGTTAAAAATCTCTTCGAATTGGCCCGTCAACATAAGCCATCAATTATATTTATCGATGAAATTGATTCAATGTGTTCGGCACGTTCGGACAACGAGAATGATAGTGTACGTCGTATTAAGACAGAATTTCTGGTACAAATGCAAGGTGTTGGTAATGATACAGATGGCATTTTGGTATTGGGTGCCACCAATATTCCATGGGTTTTGGATTCCGCTATACGTCGACGTTTTGAGAAGCGTATTTATATACCGCTGCCGGAGGCCCATGCACGTTTGGTTATGTTCAAAATACATTTGGGCAACACGACACATGTCTTGACCGAAGAGAATTTACGAGAATTGGCTGGAAAAACTGAGGGGTGAGTTGGGAGGGGATTTTTCAATGACGTAGAAAGTTTGTATTAATGTTTCTTTGTTGTTGTTTTTTTTTTCAAATAGTTATTCAGGTGCTGATATCTCAATTGTAGTACGCGATGCTCTTATGGAACCTGTACGCAAAGTACAAACCGCCACACATTTTAAGGTGAGATTTTTTTTTTTTTTTGGTTTTCATTAAATTTCAAAAATTTGGCAAGTACCGATGGGTTACAAGCCAAACTATTAAAGACTGGTGGTCAGATGCTGGTAAGGAGCATGCACCAGCTGATTAGTACAATTTGGCTAGAAGAATACATGCTTAATGCTTGGAACCTCAGCATCCTGTGTCCCGTGCACAAAAAAGGAGACAAGACGATATGTGCCAACTATAGAGGAATTAGCCTTCTTCCCATCGCATATAAAGTGCTATCCAGCGTGTGAACGACTGAAGCCAATGGTCAATGACATTATTGGACCATACCAATGCGGCTTCAGACCTGGCAAAGCCACCATTGACCAGATTTTCACTCTGCTCCAAATCCTGGAAAAAAACACGAAAAACACATCGACACATTCCACCTATTCGTCGACTATAAATCCGCATTTGATAGCTCTATCCGTTCAGAAATGTATAAAGCCATATCTGCGTTTGGCATTCCTGCAAAATTAATACGGCTATGCAGGATAACTTTAACTAGCACAAGATCAGCAGTTAAAGTCGGAAAGGACCTCACGGAGCCCTTTATTACCGAACGAGGATTAAGAAATGATGACAGTTTGTCGTGTGACTTTTTTAACATCCTGCTGGAAAAGGTCATACGAGAGGCAAAAGTGAACAGAAATGACACTCTGTACACCAAACAACAGATGTTAGTCGCCTACGGCGACGACATCGACATAATGGGTCGAACACTTAGAACGGTAACAGCCACCTTTGAACAAATTGAGAAGGAGTCTGCCAAAGTGGGTCCGGGACAGTAAATGGCGAGAAGAACAATCTGATGGTATCAACGCGCAAGACGTCCATTAGACTCGGACCAACTGTGGAACTTGAGAACTACAACTTCTAGGTAGTCAAAGATTTTATATACCTTGGTACCGTCATAAACAAAACGGATTACATCAGTTTTGAAATTCGGAGAAGGATTGTGATGGCCAACAGATGCTAATATGGTCTGAGCAAACAACTCAAAAGCAAGGTCACCTCCCGCCAGACCAAACTCACACTCTACAAGACGCTGATACTACCCGTGCTGTTATATGGATCTGAAGCATGGGTATGCGTAAGCGGATGAGGCAGCGTTTGGAGTGTTTGAGAGAAAAATTCTCCGAAATATCTATGGGCCGATCTGCGTTGACGGTGAATATCGCCGTCGAATGAACCATGAGTTGTTGAGCTATTCTCGGACATCGACATTGTTAGACGTTGGTAGGTCATGTTGTGAGAATGGATGAAGATGCCCCAGCCCAGAAGGAATATAAAAGCGAACCAGCTGCAGAAGAGGAAGGCCACGAATATGATGGAAAGATCAAGTGGAAGATAACATTGCCGAATATGGTCTTTCAAATTGGAAAAAGTGCGCAAAAGACCGACGCGCCTGGAAATCTGTTTTAAGCTCGGCTTATGGAACGAATGTTCTGTCACAAGCCAGCTAAAAAAATTGGCAAATATTCTTCTAGGTCACTGAAAATATATCCTTGTTCCTTGAAAAAAGACTTTAAAAATCCAAGCCTTGTTCCTTGAAAAAATTCTTTAAAAATTCCCGCCTTGGTCCTTGAAAAAATTCTCTAAAAATCCACGCCTTGGTCCTTGAAAAAAATCTCTAAAAATCGACGTTTTGCTGCTCCATCTATTGATAGGCCTTGAAACAATTATTTTATTTTTTTATTTAATTTTTTTCAGCGCGTCACTGGTCCCTCACCTACAAACAAGGAAATCATATGTGACGATTTACTGGTACCCTGTTCCCCAGGCGATGATGGCGCCATTGAAATGAGCTGGGTCGATGTGCCCGGTGACAAACTATTTGAGCCACCTGTAACAATGGTATGACGTACTAATATTCCCCTCAATCCTGTTTTTATTTCTAACAATCCAAATAATTTTCCCTTACAGCGCGATATGTTGAAGTCATTGTCACGCACGAAGCCCACGGTCAATGAAGATGATTTAATAAAACTGCGTAAATTCACAGAGGACTTTGGCCAAGAAGGCTAAGCGCCGCAGCATTAGAACAAATTCCAATGAGACGCGCGCGATTTAAAATAAATGTTATTATTAATTAAAAACGAAAGAAAATCTTAAATGAATATTAAGCTCTTATTGTTTTTTACACGTCTAATAATTTTAAATACCATTTTTTTCGTCCTTGTATTGTTTATTTTTTTTTTTTAATTTTCAAAATCAGTTTTTTTAAAGTTTTTTTTTTAAAGCAAATAAGAGAGAGAGCATTTTTGTTTTGTTTTCCTTAAAAATTTATTTTATTATATAACATATAACGCAAACAAAACAAAAAAGAAATTGATTCTCATGCCGAAATCCGCATCAAATGTATATTTTTATACTAAAGGCCCCAAGTTAAAAAAGTTAAACTATTGAATGGCAAAATTTTAAGGGGCGTTAAATTAAAACAAACAACAATTTAGACCATTTATATTTTAAAGATAAGGTTACTGATTTTATTTGACCCTGTTGGCAGGCAATACATGCCACTCAATTGGCCTATATTATATTAAAAAACAAAAACAACAACAAAACAAATCTTTGGAAATTTGAAAACAAATTATTGCCTATTTATCGTAAAACAAAAAAAAAAAAACAAATTACCTACAATAATAATTATAAGACAAAAAACATATCCTCTGTGTTCTTTGTTTCTTATTTTATTTAATAAAAAAAGTTCTAATGTAATGTAGTGTACACAGGTAAGTAGTAACATATAGGACACCTTATTAAATCTATGTATAAAAAAACTATTTGACATTAAATACATTTACTTGTCGTGGTTTATTTTTGGTGGAATGCCATAAGTAAAGTTAATCACTGTCATCATCTCGCATATAATCATTATCATTGGTTTGATCATCTAGATCGGTTGGTATATTCAGCATGGGTTCCTTTATGTCATAGATGTCCATCATTCTCTGAAAAAAGAACAAAAATAGAAATCAGGCGTGGATTTTTATACCCTTCACCACACTGTGGTACAGGGTATTATGTCTTTGTGCATGGTTCCTTTTGAGAATATGCATAGAGTCACTTTTTAAGTCAATTTATGCCCGTCCGTCTGTCTGTCCATGTTAAATTGTAAACAAAGTACAGGTCGCATTTCTGATCCGAATTGGATGAAATTTGGCATAGGTCACTTATTTGGCCTAAGGACGAACCCTATTGAATTTGGGAAAAATCGGTTCAGATTTAGATATAGCTTCCATATATATTTTCGTCTGATTTAAGGTAAATGGTGTACCAAAGACCCTATATATCTTTCGATTTGCACGAAATTTGGCAAAACGTGCTGAATTAGGTCTAGTATGAGGTGTGTTAAATTTCCTGCAAATCGGTACAGATTTGAATATAGCTCCCATATATATTTTCGTCCGATTTAAGGTAAATGATGTACCAAAGACCCTATATATTTTTCGATTTGCGCGAAATTTGCCATAGCGTAATGAATTAGGTCTAGAATGATGTGTGTTAAGTTTCATGAAAATCGGTTCAGATTTAGATATAGCTCCCATATATATATTTTCGTCCGATTTAAGGTAAATGGTGTATCAAAGACCCTATATAACCTTCGATTTGCACGAAATTTGGCATAGCGTACTGAATTGAGTCCAGAATGATGTGATGAAATTTCGGGAAAATCGGTTTATATTTCGATGTTGTAAGGATACATATCGTTAGCTAAAATGCAAAAAGGCGTAACTAACAAAAAATTGAAAATTGACTTTTTGAATGATTATTGTGAATGTCAATAAACGTTAGTTACGCCTTTTTGCATTTTAGCTAACGATATGTACAATATACCCAAAAAAATTCATATACTGTACTTTCCTTACTGGATTTTAAATATTTTTTCAAAGACTACAATGGGCGTAATCTTTGAAACACACATTTTTAAAAAATCCACGTCTGTTAATGACCTTTAGAAAAAATATTTTTAAAAAAATCCACGCCTTTGGAAAAATATTTTTTAAAAAACCCAAGCCTGTTGGTGACCTTTGAAAAAAATCAACGACTGTTGTTGACCATTGGAAAAAATTCACGACTGTTGTTGACCTTTTAAAACAATTCTTTTGAAAAAATTCACGCCTTTTGGTGACCTTTGAAAAAATATTTTTGAAAAAAATCCATTTTTTGAATAAAAATATTTTGAAAAATATTTTTATAATTCCAAAAAAAAAAAATTAATATTTTTCAAGGACTACAGTGGGCGTGGATTAAAAAACAATTTTCAATTATTTGCAAATATTTGTATCTTATCTTAAAGACTTCAATAGGCATGGATTTTTTTAAACCAAGTTTTTACAATGACCTCGATAAATATTTTTTCAGATACACAAAAAATATGAATTTTTAAGGAATATTTTTCTCAAGGACTCCAATTAGCATGAATTTGTAAAGAATATTTCTTAGGGTCTAACAGATCCAAAAAAGAAACAAAAAGTCGCGATCGTCACTATTTTTCAAGCCTTAACATTGGATTAAAACAAAAAATACCAAAGTATAAAGTTGGAATTTTTAAGAATATTTTTCAAGGACCACTGTTTTTGATTTGTAATGAATTATGAATGAATTATATCAACTCATCCTCCCCTCACCTTAACCAAATCCATATTTAACGAACATATCGATTGTGATGTATCCGGATGGGCATCAATTTCATCTTTGGAAGCTAAACGGACATACGGCAAACCATCCGCGCCACATTCTATGGCAATATTACCATCACGAGCCAAAAATGCCAATTGAAAGGCATTCTCAACGGTGTTCATAAAATCATGTGGATCAATGATTAGTTTATAAAACGGTACCGGTTGACGTTGATTTGCACGGAAGATGTCATCAAGTTGCTTTAGTAAAATATTGACTTTTTCGGCACCACGATCGTCGCGCTTCAGCTGTTTTATAGTTTCGGGTTTCTTTTCTTGTGTGAGAACTGTGCGTCGTCGCTGTTGTCGTTCTCTGATAACACGTTCTTTGGGTTCGATATCAGCAGCACCGAGCATAGAGGATTTTGTGGCCACAGATTTGGAACATGCCAAGGCCAAGCGGGTAATGTCTTGCCAATTTTCCGAGTCATTATTCGATACTAAGGCACTCTGGAAGAAAAAAACATTCTTTGCTAGTCATTTCAGATGAGACTAATGATTCATGGATCTACTTACAATGGCATTCTGATACATTCCATCATTGAATTCGGAGCTGGCCTGCAATAGCTTCGATATGGATTCATGTGTACTCTTGAGGATTTGTGCATCTAGCACCACCTCACTGGTATTCTCCAATTTATCACCAATGCTACCCTCCTTGTGAATGTTATCGTTACGTTCTATGATGCTGCGCAGGGCTGAGCATGTTTCACTTTCTTCGCGGGTACCAATGCATTTGTCTGTACAATAATCAGGTTTTTAATATAAACTTCTCTGCAAGGGAATTGGGAGGATGGGAGAGAGGGGAACTTACTTATATGTTGTAGCTCATCGATAATTAATTTATAGCGTTGTTTCCGATCCGTCGATTGACTTGTTGATTGATCCATTTTTTGTTTAAAACTATTTGTTTACAAATATTCGCAAGCAGTGCGACCTAATCTAAAAACGTTGCGCGCGCTGTGAATTGGGCAGAGAAAAGACGAAGCAGTCCCTTTAATGAATCATATGGCAAGGTATGGCAACAACAACTTCAGCAACGGCGCCAGATGCGTAACACAATAGCGGCGCTTGCCAACAACTGCGTTTACATGTAGTAGAGAAAAGAGCGCGAAATTTTTGGATTTTTAAATAGTATTTTTCAAGCTTAAGCAGACCAAATAGGCGTGGATTTTTTAAATAGTATTTTTCAAGCTTAAGCAGACCAAATAGGCGTGAATTTTTTCTTCCATTTCACGGTACCCATCAAATATTCGATATTTTCTGGATTTTGGGCACGATTTTCAACAGTTTGCAATTTGAAATTCTGAGTTATGATCGGGTAGAAAATAATCGCACCAGAAATTATAAATATGGGACCTCTTCTGTTGTAGCTTTCGTATAACGGTACTTCCCAATTTTCAGTTTATGGCTGGTTTGGGCAAGTTTTTCAACCGAATTGTTTGTCATTTTTGTGTGTTTGAGTTCCCACTGGCTAGCAAATCTCTCTACCAAAAATTATCAAAATTTGTCAAAGTTTTGGGAGTGGCGCCCAAATTACGGAACCATCGTTATTCGTTATTTTGGGCACATTTTTTCAGCCAATTCGGCTATAATTTAATATTTTGGATTCTCACTGGCTAGCAAATCTCCCTATCAAAAATTTTCAATATCAGTCCACATTAAAAGGTAGTCCCCGTTCCTACCAAATGTCGTTTGGCAGGTTTTTCTACAAAAATGACTGTATAGAATATATTTTGGATTGTCATCGGATAGAAATTATCCCTGCCGAAAATGATCAATAAGGGACTAACAAAAAACGTTCAATATTGATACATGCTTCGAAGTGGGGCCCAAATAATGGTTGCCTCATTATTCAGTATTTTAGTCACGTTTTTCCCACCGAATTGGCTGTAATTTGATATTTTAGGTTCTCCTCAAATCTTCCTACCAAAAATTATCAATATCGGTCAACGTTCAGGAAGTATAGGCCTCATGTAACGGTACTCCCAATTATTCGGTATTTTGTGGATTTTGGAAAGATTGTTCAGGCGAATTGTCTCTAAATTTTATATTTTATATTCTCATAAGGTTCCAAATCTATATAGTACCATGGCATATCCCGTAATTTTTAAGGTTCCAAACGATTACGGTTGTTTTTTTAGTATTCACCTCATGATGGAGGGAATAAAAATAAATTTTTGGAGACTGAAAAAAAATCTTCTCAGAACATTTTTAATATAAGTCCGAGTTTCTACATGTCCCAAATGTCACACATAATTTTTGTTATGTTAAGGTTCGGCCGAATTTAATGATGAGTTTACTAGTTTTTAATTCTATTTTATCAGTCTTCAAAGGTGTGATCTACTGTAACGCGGAAATTTGACGTCGAAAAGCTGCAAACACAACAGATAGCAAAAGCCTACTCCGCTCAACCTCCCGATAATGGAGAATCGAGAATTGCCCAATCTCTACAAACTGCAGGAAAGGCAACAGTTGGGTACCAAACCATCAAAAAATCCGTGATACGATCAGGAGTGTCATAATTCTACTGATATGAAAAAAGCAGCATATAGGGAAACCCTGCGGACAGTAGCAACATGTAATGCGATGGAGAATTATCGGGAGAAAAGGAGGGAGGAGAAATGTATTTTCAGAAAAAAGAAGAAAGAGCAAGAAAAACGTGAGCGTGAGCAAATCCAGATGTACAGGAGTCAGAATGAAGTCCGAAAATTCTACCAACGGGTAAAACACCAAACCGAAGGCTTTGATGCAGGCACATCCTCCTGTAGAGATGAAGAAGAAAATCTGGCTATAGATACAGACAGCGTGTTGAGGATCTGGAAGGAACATTTTAAAAAACTTCTGGTACCAAATAGTAGCGGTGAAGAGGATACCCCTGAACCAATAATAGATGACGGTATAGAGTGTATACCACCTAGCCAAGATGAAGTCAGAATATCAATCAATCAGTTAAAGAATAATAAATCAGCAGGTGCCGATGGTTTACAAGCCGAACTATTGAAGACTGGTGGTCAGATGCTGGTAAGGAGCATGCGCCTGCTGATTAGTACAATTTGGTTAGAGGAATTCATGCCCAATATTTGGAACCTCAGCATCCTGTGTCCCGTGCACAAAAAAGGAGACAAGACGTTAAGTGCCAACTATAGAGGAATAAGTCTCCTTCCCATGGCATATAAAGTGCTATCCAGCGTACTGTGTGAACGATTGAAGCCAATGGTCAATAATGCCATTGGACCATACCAATGCGGCTTCAGTCCTGGCAAATCCACCATTGACCAGATTTTCACTCTGCGCCAAATCCTGGAAAAACCCCACCAAAAACACATCGACACATTCCACCTATTCGTCGACTATAAAGCCGCATTCTTCAGCCCTATCCGTTCAGAGGTGTATAAAGCCATGTCTGCGTTTGGAATTGCTGCAAAATTAGTACGGCTATGCAGGATAACTTTAACAGGCACAATAACAGCAGTTAATGTCGGAAAGGCAGTTATACGAGGATTCAGACAAGGTGACAGTTTGTCGTGTGACGAAAGGCAAAACTGAACACAAATGACACTCTGTACACCAAACAACACATGTTAATCGCCTACGACGATGACATCGACATAATGGTTCGAACATTGAGAGCGGTAACAGCCACCTTTGAACAAATCGAGAAGAAGTCTGCCAAAGTGGTTCTGGCAGTAAACGGCGAGAAGACCAAGCTGATGGTATCAACGCGCAAGACGTCCAGTAGACTCCGACCAACTGTGGAAACTGACAACTACAGCTTCGAGGTAGTGAAAGATTTTATATACCTTGGTACCGCCATAAATAAAACGAATGACATTAGTTTTGAAATTCGGAGAAGGATAGTGATGGCCAACCGATGCTAATATGGTCTGAGCAAACAACTCAAAAGCAAGGCCACCTCCTGCCAGACCAAACTCACACTCTACAAGGCGCTGCTACTACCAGTGCTGTTATATGGATCTGAAGCATGGCTTCTCGCGCAAGATGGGTCAGTTCTTGAGGAGTTTGAGAGAAAAATTCTCCGAAAGATCTATGGACCGATCTGCGTTGACGGTGAATATTGCCGTCGAATGAACCATGAGTTGTACCAGCTATTCTTGGACATCGGCATTGTTAGACGTATTGAGCTGCAACGGCGATTACGTTGGCTAGGTCATGTTGTGAGAATGGATGAAGATGCCCCAGCCCAGAAGGCATATAAAAGCGATCCAGCTGATGGTTCACGCAGAAGGGGAAGGCCACGAATACGATGGAAAGATCAAGCCGTAGACAACATTGCCGAATATGGTCAATCAAATTGTAAAAACTGCGCAAAAGACCGACGCGCCTGGAAATCTTTTTTAAGCTCGGCTTATGGAACGATAGTTCTGTCACAAGCCAGCTCAGTAAGTAAGTTACCAGTCTTCTTCTTCTTCTGCTCGATTTTTAATATTATGGTCTGGACCTTATTATAGTCTTCCCACCCTTTTGAATTTGAGATGATATCGCATATCACATTTGGTAGGCTTTGAAATAGATCAGCATTTGATTGGTAGTCCAAATTGAAATGCCACGGCAACTCTAAATACCACTTTACAATACTCTCTTCTTACTGTAATTTTCTATCTCTCTTTCTCCCCCTAACTAAAACAGATGTTTTATTTAACTCTTAAGAGAGTTAAACTCTAAGCTCTTTCAACCGGTATTGTTGTGCTAAACAACACAACGTCTTCGGCTCCATCACATTCACTTAGCCGATCAGTTGTTAACTAATCGTGGTCGCGAATAGTCAGTCATCAATAACGGTTCCGTTACATTCAAAAGAAACGGTGATAAAGAGTTGGACAACAAAATTCGGGCGAAAACATAAACATTACACGAAACACACACACATACATATATACCGTGGCTTGTTTCGAAAGTTACCGAAGATGATGATGATGAAGAAGTAAAAAATTCGTTAAAAAATAAGCCAAGTTATGAAGTGGAGTGAAGGAAAATAAAACAAAATAATTAAAAGAAAAAATGCAATATGCGAATGCGATAAAGTGTGTAGATACTTGTTTATTATGTTGTAAAAGAAGTTAAATAATTGAAAAGAAGATAAAGATAAAAAAGAAGATAAAGTGTATAACAAAAATAAATATTTAATAAAAAAGAGAGCAGTTGTAAATAAAAAAACAAAATTTTGTTTTCACAAAAAAAATTCTTTGCGAAACAAATAAAAAAAAAGTTTTTCAAAATTCCCAAAAAAAAAATCTTACTAAAACGATTTTCAAGCGAAATTGCCAGAGAGCAAAAGGAGAAAGAAGAAGGTAAAAACCACCTCTTTATAAATATTTATATCAACCGACATAATATCAGTTTTGTTTAAACAAAACTTGACCAAAATCAAAGACATTAAATAAAATAAAATTTCCATTTAACCTCAACATAAAAAAAAAATAATAATAACGGCCAAGCGATCGATCGTCCGACCGACCACATCTGTTCATAATTAACCGATATAGTAAACCAGTGGCTCTGATGGACGTCTACCATCCACAATGGAGAGGTGACGGTGTTGCTGCTCTTTTGTCGCCAATCACTTTTGTTTTCAATTAGCCACCAACAACAAAAACCAACTGAAATCTAGTCATCATCACCAATGGATTTCGATGAAGTCTCAGACGACAATGACAACGAGGCAAGGGGTTGTCTGTGTGTGGTTTTTTTCGAGGGGCTAATTTTTTGGCTATGTTTTTCTTTTAGTTAGACCTTCATTGGTTCGGTTCGCTTGCACTGAGGTGTAGTTTATTTTTTGCTTTTTTGAAGGTAACGATATTATTTTTTTTTGCTGGTGGTAGAGGTACTGAACCACCGAACATTTTTTTGTTACACAGCGAAAAAAATAAA